TATTTAATTGATTTGCGTTTCAACCACCACTGAATATTATGTTATATTATTATTGTTATCTTATATTAGTTGCGGTGCCACATGTATTCGCGATCGTTTCGATATTTTGTTATTTAATATTCTAATCACATTTCGTGTAGTGTACGTCGGTAATGAAATGTCAGGTGATTGATTCTGTGATTTTACGAATAATCATAATAGTAAAGAAAAAGAGTTGAGTGAAAATCGAATTTTCAAGTATCTGAATTATATTTATTGATACAATTTACCAGGTTGTCCATCAATAACCGGAGAAAACAGACAGTACAATGCAGGCGAGAAAGTGAGGATGCAATGTGGCGAAAGACCAGGTGTATATTATGAGGCGGAATGCGTATCGAATGGTTTCTGGATCTACCCAACACGTGATGCAATTTGTAAACATTCGACACCAGTCGCCGCACCAGCTTATCAACCTCCAAACGCTGTCGTCGTGGTTCCGAAGACAAAAAAATGCAAGTTCATTCCTGGTTATATGCGTGATATAGATGCTGGACGGATGTGGAAGAATGGCGATCGATACTGGATGCGATGCGAAGATAAAATAAGACTGTTTGCAGCCACATGTAGTAATAAAGCTTGGCTTTTCGAGGAAAATGTTTGTCAGGGTCCTGCACCAACCGGTGGAATTCTCTCAAACCTATTTGGACCAATGCAAGTCGGACCGCGGCCGGCATTACCATCAACACACCCTAGCCCAGATGATTATAGTCCAGATAACATACAGAAAAGCCAATTGGCCAAGGTACTGAAGTTTTATAGGCTAATTGAATTTCTTCTTTTTCGAAATGAAATAAGTATTGTTAGTTATTAGGAGTAGCATTGCTGTAAAGTGCTACAGCTTGGGCGACATACTGGGCATGGAAAAACTTAATAACTAAATGCGATCCTTTTCTATTTTATTTATTCTAGGTCCTTTTTGACGGTTTCTACAATGCTCTCGATGGTTTGTGGGGACCGAAAGAAGGTGAACGGACAAGCTTCAGGAGGTAACTATAGTATAAATTAAAGTAAATGTATATATATTACTTTCGTACAACAATTTTAATTTTGAAAATCGCGATCTTGTACTAACATCACATTTGTAACGGTGACGATTTTTTCACAGTAATAAGAATAACACAGTATATTATAACTCAATATGCCAAGCAGACGAAAATATTTTCAAACCTTAATTCAAATAGGATTTATTCTTCATTTACTGCATAGAATGTTTCACCAAGGACTCAGTAAAAATATTTATTTCTCACACCTTGCACATTTATGGACACAAATTCGCATATCAGATGTCGTAACGTATTTTTCATCATATTTAGGTCTCAACTTGCAAGGACTCCTAGATCCAGTGTATGCAATAATAAACCCAAAACCGGACGGTCCCAGGAAATATATTGGTAAGATTTTTAGTTGCAATGAATATATTGTTTAAAATTGGTATTTGCGCTTTCATTCATTGACAAAAGAAGTTATCGTCGAAGAACGATGAACGGGATGTAACAAAACGAATCATAATATAAGCAAAATTTGACTCAAGTTCGAAATGATATTAATATATAAATTATGGTAACACTAGCATTTGGAGAAAATTGTTTACAAAAATATTTACTCCTAGTAATTAATTACCGTCCATTTTTAGGACATTAAAATTTGAATTTTATTTGACATTTGAGAAAATAAAAATCCCCTATTTATACCTAAATTTGGAAGAAATATCACCGCTACCAAGGAGTTTGAATCAATTTATTTCACTAAAATAACCCAGGTACAAAATAGGAAACAATTGATTAATGTCAATGCCTCGTTGATTGCAAAATCGTTCTTTAACATAATTCAAACTGATCGATGAAATTTTTTTCAAATCCGAGTAAGACAGAATAAGAGTTATGGAACATGAAGGGGACCTATGCATCGTTTTTTCTTTTTGTATTTTTCTTCTTATTGTTGTGAAAAATTGCTCTTCTTTTCAATTGCTATACCAATTATTTAAATTTTTCAGAGGTTTAAGATTGTCGTGTTCTCTGAAAGAGTATGACTTTTATTCATTTTAAAAATTACTGGTGGCTCTATAGGATCGTTTCACTTCACAAAGTCCTGTGTGATGACGTCATCAAAATTGAAAATTGCGCACCATGAGGGATTTCTCAGTCGTGTTTTCACGATCTGGTGGTCAGACTCCTGGTGCTGTAAAAGATTTGATAACATTTTAGTTTGGCTTTCGTGTCCTTATATTTGAGCATTATTCTCTTGCTATATCTGCTATCAATTATATCAACAGATACCCATGAGCATTGTCCATACAACGAATTCATGGATATAGAGTATCGGCAAAAGGTTTTCTCACATGGTTACAAATACAGGGCTCATTGCAGTAAAGAAGAGTATCACGATAGATATTTTGTCCTAATTTGCGAAAATGGAGTTTGGAAGTACGATGAAAAAGATTGTGAAAGTATCAACAGTTATTTCACTCTAGCCTTCAATGAATGTAAGATATACAAAAAATTATTGTTTATAAACATATGCCGAAAACATATATTCAATCAGCCACCCCATTACCCAAGTACCTAATTCACTTTAGAAATCAGACTTACATCGTCAGTAGAAAAAAATCTTTTACGTATCAAGTCGCCACCAGTGTTGGCATTTCCTGCATAGAAGGCAAGCAGAAAATAATTCAGTGTTTCCAATTTTTTATCACCTCAAACACTGCAGCTATTGACTGATGTACTGATTAGACTTTAGTTCATCAAACTCTTTGGATTTCTGGCAAATTTACGAGATTTTTGATGATACTTCAAGTTTAAAGATGAGATATAATATAACATTTTTATTGTTTTTGACAGATCCGTATTGGCTCCTCTCACTTTTGTTTAGGGGTAAGTGTAAATATTAAATAACTTTCTTGTGCAGTTTTGAAACGAAATTTAGGAGTAACCTGACATTTCCGTGTTACCGCATGATATTCGTACCTTCGAAAATGCAAAAAATGGCTTTTATTAAATATATTTTTGACATTCTACTACCTGTATCTTATAGTCCTTGGATAAACGGTCATCTGGTTGAAATAAAACCGGACGACCAAAGCTGTGGAATCGGAGTAATTATTGTTATTCGATTGTAGTCGTGTCCATAAATTCCCCACGTCAGAATCGGATTCAAAATTTAGAACTACCCAGTGTGGGTAATTGTAGAAGTTCTAGGGTCTGGAATGAGACATTTATGACTGTGACGAAAACGTTGCGCAAGATAAATTTTTGGTATCAAAAAGTTCAGCCAAAGTTGGTTGCGGAGTGGATTTTTTATTCGAGAGTCGGAACGGGATGAAAACTGATCTCCGTCTCATCAAACTATAAAACGAATTTATTTCAAAGTTATGAAAGATGGATTGAAAAGGCAAAATATTATTTCTTCACGGTCGTAAGTTGTAGCACATTTGGATCCTAATAAATATCACCAGATGCCTGGCCGATCTTATCGGAACAAATGTCCCGACCTGAGTCCACCCCGAAAGCGGTCATGCTTTGCAATGCTTCTGCATAAATTCAACCTTCTTGCACATTGCAGGTTACAATGCTGTGCGTTCGGAAAGATCTTGGAAGTGTTGGAAGCAAATTTACAACTGCTCAAATTCACGATCATCCTCAATGAAGCTTTGGAAAATCCGTCTTAACTTGAACATTACAAAAAAAAATCATTATATTGTCTCGTTTGGATATTAAGAGTGAACGTATGATTAGGGTTATTGTCAATAATCTTCATGATGGCAGCTCCTGTTTCCTTTAATTCATTTGTTATGAGTGTTATATTGTCTTTATGTCGATATAAGCTAAACATTTTTTACATGATGGTGTCTTTGTTTGTTTATTTATAGTACTGAACAATGTTTACAATAAATGGAAATTAGATTCACTGTGCCATATTTTGATTAGTCATTAATGTGACAGAATATTGCATTACAGTGTGTGAAGTATTAATATACCGCTACTATAAGTTTTAAAATTCCGCGTCATGATAAGATGAACTCAATACTTCGATTCCTGACCTGGCCGAACCTCAAATATACATCCGAATTCAGCCCGTATATCAGTATAGTGGCGAAGTTTATAGCTTGAACATTCCTATAGCACTCAAACAGCAGCGCATTTATGAAATACAAATCTGGTCGTATGCGATCTATTAAGAAACCGACTTGAGGATTCAGGATAATCAAATTAATTATATACACTGATGTCTGTCAAATCTGATTTTAACTTGAGCATCGTTGAACAGTGGACATATTAAATCCAGAGCTGTTAAAGTGCTTTACGCCATATCATGCACGTGTCGTAGTCTATGAATTTATGATATATTGCAGTGATACCAATAGTAAGACTAAATGATGTTATAGAGTCTAATATTTCCTAGCATTCACTTGGGCATTGTATATACAAAATGTCAAATAAGACATACATTAATAGTGAATAAAAAGATGTCATATCCATGATGAAGTCGGGACAAAAACAATATTAGGAGTGAGTACATGAAAAAACTTATACAACCTCCAGGTATTCACGTTTCGTTTAAACCAAGCTATCTGCTGGCATCTGTGTGGCGAGGATATACCAATAAGAAGCTTTTACGACTCTTTCATTGACACTCTTTTTACTTATAGCTGATGCTCGAGACCTTGTTTAGAAAAAATTGTATGCAGCTAACTGTTTTAATTGTATGATGACGTGAAACGATCGCACCTGTGAACAAGTCTTTTAATTACTTTTTAATTAAGGCCGTGATTCCGATTACGTTCATATAAACAAACAATATCGGGATAATGATATCTTGAGGGTTGAGCTTGGCGTGATTTACAATTAGATTTAGGGTGATGGTACCGTAAGACCTACATTAAGTTAGATTAGACTGGATTTACAGAAAACAAAAATGTTTTAATCTATGCTTCGCAAATATCAATTTTATCCATTCAGTGAATGCGTGGCAAGGTATAAGTATAATGTAATAAAAATCCTTCATTTGCGACTTAATAATACCATACTCAATTTCGAAAATTCTGACTCAAAAGCGAATAAATTGTAAGACTTCCGTAGCTAAATATTATATCATTTCTATATTTAATTTTAAATGTATTATCCTCTCTATTATCAAGGATTAGGGAAGATATGTATTCCAATTCGTCAATTGAATTTTGGGTTGTCATATCCACATTAGGTTATATTATAGAATACGAGATAGTATACTGCCATAACCACCACCAAGCGTAGGCATTCCTTGTATTTGAAATTATTGCCGAAAATGCTCAATTATGCTCAATTTATATTTATATTGGCAAAAAGTGTGTGTTCGAATTAATAAATACAGCCGCTGTAAACACAGTGTTCAAAACGAAGATCTGTAAAGATATGTTGCCCCCTGTATAAGTTTTATAACTCTCAATTCTTACCTTATAAATCTGCGTTTCGATAAAAAAGGCATTGAATCCAGTTCAAGCCCCAATTATAGTTTTGTGGAGAAAAGGACATGAAAACGGATATTTAAACGGCCGATTAAACGATATCAAAATGAAATCAATACCATAGGCTTCCATATTATATGGTAGCTTCCGGCGAATTAGGATTCATTATCGCTCTTCCCGTTTATAATTAAGGAGATGTATCCAACAAGAGATGTCGCGACAAGTCCCCGGGCTTCATTTTCCTACGTGTCGATCGCGATTTATCCCTCCGCAGCGCTTTGAATTGGCGCATTCTTATCTGTCGCTCGAAGGAGATGGCCATGTTTACTCAGGTTTTAGTTATTTTCTTGGCTAGTCTACTGCACAATGCATTTGCAAGTGAGTTACTTTTAAATATTATTTTTTAATGAACCAGTGAAATATGACTGATTTTGAAAATTTGGGGCAATACTTTACTAGTCTTTTAATACGACGATCACATAAGTAGAATTTTGATTACGCCACTTATGACAATGGGGAATAGTCCAGTATGGGTTTGAAAATTGCAAATCTCTTATTTCCTCATCAACATATTGCTTTTTCGTTGATATCAGTAAAACAACACCCCGCTGTAGTATAATTGCGTAATTATACACTTTCAAAATATAAATCAAGCGGAAGCGGAGAATTAAACGAGGGCTATTTACAATCGATCAATGTTTTGCACCTCCTCGTGTGTAAGATAAGCTTAATTATGCGTTGGTGACAATAAACTCCACGTCAACCATTTGGATAATTGACTTGAGCACCAGTTTGTTGTTCAGTGGTAAAATATTATTCACTTCTGGCTATATTTGTATAAGCCTAGTGATTAGCGATTTTCTACACCAGTTTGATCTGTACGGCTTAGTCGAACAGGTTTACCATCACAACTTAACGGTTTTAATAAAAGTAAGAATCCAAGGTAAACCATATTAGCACAGTAAAAGTGATATTAAGGGCGTTTCCCATGACGCGAATTCGTATCACTTTGTTTATGTTATGGGATGATGTATCAGATAACAAAAGGCCATTAACTGATGTTCACAAGTATATTATGTATACAGTGTGTCGTTTTTCAATCCGCATGATTTACATCGAAATCTCATTCCTGGCGTTCAGGATAAATATAATGCATATTATTCTAGAATTTGAACAATTTTTACAACAATGAGTTTACCTCGAAGTTTGAGAAATATAGTTTGTAATCTTTGTGACCTGTGTCTATTTATAGAATTTATTGGAATCCACGCCTGTAAATGTGTGCTCATACTGAAAACTTTGTTGGATATTTGCACTTTTACACAATATCAATTCCGATTGAACTGCGGTTACACTGAATGATCAAAACATTGTCTTATTTTTTCCCTTGTTTACACTTCAGATGTCTGCCCATCAATTATTGGAGAGAAAGATAAGTTTTATGAAGCTGAACAAACGTTAATGTTTCGGTGCGACAAAAAACCAAACATGAAGTACACAGCTGTGTGCAAGAATAGTGGCTCTGGGACCATTCAAGAAGTGTAACGAATGCCAAGGAATTCCGGCTTCACCTGATTCACCAAAATTTGTTCCACAGCACAAACACCTAACGAACCCGTCCACCTATCTTGAGCCCGCTGCTCCAGCACCGGCTGCACCACAAACAGTAATATCTCTACCCCAAACTGTGTTTCTGCACCCCAACCTGCGGCACCAGCACCACCTGCGGTTGAATCACCGACACCTGCCGTGGCAGCTGTTCCCGCAGTTAAGCCGGAAGGCTGTTCATATCTGCCGGGCTATATGCGAGTTGGCGATGCAGAGATAATTGGGCGGATAGTCGTCAATACAGAATGCGGTGTGACGAATAAACCAAGATTGTTCGTTGCAACGTGTAGAATCAAGGCATGGGTATTTGAAGAAAATTCATGTAAAGGCCCACTACCATCAACGTTTCTTATCTAACCTTTTCGGTCCGATAGACCAGGTTGGACCACTGAGACCTGGAATCGGACGCCCTCCCTCTGTCGTCCAGCCTAATGTAAACCCGCCACATCTGTGGGTGGTCCACCTCAAAATACATGTAATATATTGAAGTTGATTTAATATTTCTATCCTTCTTGTACATTTTTGCCTTCTCTATTTCCATATTATATGTTTTTGTTTTAGTTTCATCCTTCTTTGACAATATTGCCGATGGACTTAATAATCTATTGAAACCATTAACTTCTCCAAGACAAACTGGCGAACAGACTCAAGGAGGAGGTAAAGAAATATTATTATCGGTGTCATGCATATATTAACTATATGTAAATACCTTAACGATTGTTTTAATTTAAAACCTTAAATAAACGCCATAGAAGATAATTTTCATTGGTCAGTCCAGTGGTTTCCAAACAGGGTTCCGCGGCACTCCAGGGGTTCCTTTAGTACAATCCAGGGGTTCCGCAATTTCAAATCCAATAAATTTTTATATTAATATATTTATATAAAGAGACAGATATAATCGTCCAACATTTTCCTCGTATTCTAAGAATTCACACGCTGAGTGTGAATATATTTAAATGCCTATTAAATTTTTCAATGTCATTAAACTTGCTACAGTTTAAAGATCATTTTGTTTTTCCATTATAAGGGTTGCTTTTGTATATATTTATAATTTATACAATTCAGAAATAAGAGACAATTAGACTATTGTACTGAAGTTCCCCGAGTCTCTCTTTCATTGGGGTAGAAGGTTGAAAACTACTAGGTTCGTTGACCGTTCCTATATAATACTTGTTTTGTTGTACACAGGTGGTTTGTTTGGTTCCCTTGACCGTGCTTTCAACAATCTTTTCCAACCAATCACGAACCAAAAATGTGAATCCAATAACCAATATAGGTGAGTGAGATTTTCGTCGTACTATAGCCAGATTAAAAGTAAATAAATTTAAAAAAAATTGGTGGCCCCCAAACGATTCAGAATACCAGCAAGGAATAATTAACTGACCATTGGCTCACAAGTTGCAACAACGACAACTCTCTCTTTCTCTAAATCTAAATATATATATGCCTAGTTGTGACTCGTTGAGTTTAAGTATTATTTTTTGTTAAACAGAACCTCTAGATTTTTCAGGCGGATTCTCAAGCCTTGTGCTTACGATCCTCAACACATCCAACAAGGAGACGAGAAAATACACTTTCATCACGGTTATCGTTACAAAAAAGCATTATGTAACCAAAGGTACTAATAGGGTTTATGAAGTATTCTGCAGAGACGGTGGTTGGATTATTCGGACGAGGAGGCTTGTGTGCGCCCACCAAATAATGGAAATATATTCAATACGAACTTACCCGGCGGAAGTAAGATGATATTTATGAATTTGTTAATACTTATTTCACGCAAAATTCCTCGGTTGTTCCATTCATAAAATGTTAACTATAAGAAATATTACCCTGTTACTGTACCGCCACCCAGGGCCGGTTTCAAAGTGTTTGTCGTACCATTCAACGTTTTTTTAAATTAACACGGAGTGCACATTGAAATCGTTTTACCGAATTGTTGTTGTTACTGTAAAAAAACGCCTTTCACGACCGGGCCAACCTATTTCAGAATATACCTGAATATACAAAAAAGCTATTGAAGGCTAAGCCTTATATTTTAGGACTACGGTGTCGTATATTTCAACTAAGTGTTGCTAGTTTATTTCAATTCATGGACACATGACATTTGCGTACATCTATTTGATTGCTCGCTTTTTATTACATACTGGGTACATTATCTACAAAAAATCTAGTGTTGAGTGATATTGAATCGATTTGAGGCTTCCGTACCTACCATGAAAAAAAGGAACATTTTTGTCGATATTATTATTACATTTTATTTCTATGTAATCCATCAAAAAAAGATCTCCGTTTTTATATGTAGTTTGGAGTGTGAATTTCTCAAATTTAATAGATTTATTCTTGCGACTCTAGTTCTCCATTTCAAAATAAGGTCATCAATAACTTAAATAAGTACCTGATTAGGCATGAATATGCAAGTTTGAAACATGTTTGTTCAAGATTTACATTCATTCTTTTTTTACAGTTCCATTGTGGCTGCTGGCTCTCGGTGGTAAGAATTTTTTTTTTTTTTAAATTTAAACGATACCCACTGATTATTTAATAGAACAATCTAGTCTCTTATCGAACACAAAGATCGATTCTCAAATTAATGTAAAGATATGTCATTGAATAATACTATATTTTTTAGAACTTGTGACAACCACTAACCACTGGAAAATAAATTCATTTTATGAACAATGCCATCTAAAATGATTTGCAAAATCTTTGCCAATGTTTTAATTTACATCATTCGAAATTTTCAGGTTGAACAAATTCAATGATTTTATTGCAAAGCTGTCCACGATCGTGGTTCGTAAACGTCTGGACTCGGATGGTGTTCTGATGGAGAAACATTATAAGCTTTCTAGATTATTCTACTCATACATTTTATTTGTCGGTTGATTAATATCTTAATTCAAACAAGTGTTTAATAAAGTTTTACATTTTGAAATATAGATCTAATGTATATGAGGGGATCCGGGCTTCAGTTCAGAACACTTCATAATCCAGGATCTATTTTTACTCCGCTTTTGCTGAAGAAGTTTCGCTTGGAATAGGGAGTACATTTCACCAAAAAAAAAAATTTGCCTCGTTAAATTAGTCCTCTACATTCAACGTGAGATATTGCATAATGTAACGAAGCACTACAGTCCGAGTTAGATAATGAAATAGAATTAGCCTGTCAACCTAACGCGCCAACTATAGCCATTCCACCAATGAGTCAATGACGGGCTATCACAGGGCTGCCATAAGGTGCTTTGTGCTTTGTTGTTATCAGTTGATAGGTCAAATTAGCTCTACTAACCGATTTTAAAGTACTGTTTTATTTCGTGGTTATATTTAGTTCATTACCTTTATAGTTAGTATCAAGTTCAATTGCGTGGAAAAAGCACTTAATGCATGAAATTAAATCAGACTTTGTTTATAATTAAAAATTACACATCACAAAATATTTGCTTACGGCAAATTAGGTACCGTTACCGCTCGTTACGTTTATACTTAAAGTTCTTAGAGAAAGTAGGCGACATCCCCAGGCTTCGATATCTGCTACGTTGTGGTATTTTTATCCCAGCGTCGTTGTTTGCAAAAATCATTCCTATTTGTCGCCTGACGGAGATGGCCAAAATCACGTTAGCCGTGGTAGTCTACAGTTTTGTTTTGGTGCTTGGGATTTATGCAGATGAGTATGGTAAGAATATCTGTATTATACAAATACCTAGGACAATAATATTTCTCTTTTCGTAGTAAAACGGGGAATTGTGTTTAATTAGAATAATATTCCAATCGGGTGTATCCTGTAAAATATTTTGGATAGGCACTAAATGAAGACTACTAATGAAGTTGATACGCGGGAAAACAAAAATTCAGATTAGCTAGGGTTTCGTTGTTAGGGAATTACTTCAAACCTCAAAGGATTCAAGTTTGTCTAGCTTTGCGATATATACTTGAAATAAATAACGAAATAAGAGTAATCCATCGGGAGTGCCAGTCCCAGTTTATTCGTACAGAAGAATTAATCATATGACAGATAACGAAACCAAATGAGTGTTCGAATTTAGTGAAGTTTTTTTTTTCGATAAGTCGAAATCCATTCTGTTATATGTTTGGGGCTTAGAACAAACAATTCATTCCAGCAAATCCATCATCCGCTGCCTCGTCCTCAGTTATTCACAAATCAAGGGGATGCATCCATCTCCCACGATACATGCACACCAGGGACGCAGGTCAAGTATGGGGAAATGGTCGACAATATATAATGCATTGCGACGACAAGGAAAGATCATTTACAGCAACATGCCGAAATGATGCGTGGGTTTTTGAAGACAATTTCTGTCAAGGTCCCGTCTCTACAGGCGGATTTCTCTCAGATCGTTTTGGGTCAATACAGATTGGATCCGTTAGATCTGATCCTCCTCCATATCGACCACCCAGTATTATACCGGCAGCAGGTACATAACAGCCTTCTGCTAACGCTGTTGTGCAGTACGTCGGTGGCTTGAAGTTGACAAAATTTAACAATCGGCATTGGCTGAAAATATCATGTTCATTGTCATCAATTAACTCAATAATGTAACACGTTAAGTACTTTCACACTAGCATTTCATCGTTACTTTAAAATGTATCAACTTTAGGGGAATGTTTAGCACATTGAAATTGAAGTTATCGAAATCATTATTATGAGAGTTCATCTCTGAGTTTTTTCAAACGCTGGTCGATAAATTATTTAGTTTTTGAGTTTTATAGCATATTAACTGAGTAAACGAATTCAATACAAAAATAAGGTGAATGTAGCCTTACAAAATTGAGATCCATATTAGAAACAGATGAAGGGAGTAAAACGGAAACCCTATGTTCTCATATTTGAATTCTGAAAAGATTTAACACAACTAAATAAATTAAAATCTATATCTCGCATTATATTAGTGAGATACACCATGTTACTACAGACGGACCAAAAATATATAGGATTGAGCAACAAAATTCATTTCTTCTATTGCATTTCATCTTACTAGTAATATCAACATTTATTCTAACCGTTTCAACTAATGCGACTATATAATAACCACTAAATACAGCTACTATCACAATTCTCACTCAACTGATAATAGATTTCAGTTTAATAATTTCTAATAGTGTATATATATAATTTTTCGTATTAATTTCATTAGTTCACGAGAGTTCAGAGGTGAATCAAAACAAAGAGTGACGCTTTTTGAATATAATTTTGAGATAGGGTTTTCAGAATAAATGATGTCTTTCACTCAATGTAAAAAAAAATTACCGTTGCTGCTTCGAAGGCACAGACTTGATTTCTTTCTGTGCTGGAGTGCGAAACATTTTTGGAATTTGAATAAAATTTTACCAGATGTATTGAGTGAACTGAAAGAAATTAAAACTCCAATTTATTCCAGCATATTCCGGACCCGACGATCATGCACAAGTCGTACACAAACCAAAAGGTTGCATACATCTGCCTGGGTATATGGATTCGTCGGATGCAGGAAAAGAATGGGCGGAGAATCGTCAGTACACAATGAAATGCGAAGACGGAATAAGATCATTTGTAGCAACATGTAGAAACCGAGCTTGGGTTTTTGATCAAAACTATTGTAAAGGACCTCTACCGTCAGGTGGACTATTTTCAAAACTATTTGGGCCAAAGCAAATTGGATACGATAGACCTCCACCACGTCCACACCACCAACCCGATGTTAAACCAGTTGATCTTGGTTACCATAACGGCGATAAAATATCGACAGGTATATGATTTAATATACTCTTATATTTTGCCCGTATTATACATGTTCGGCTAGTACCACTTTGTTGACAAGACGACCATTTTTATCCGTATTTCAATAATTTAATTAGACCCCCAGAGCACTTCCAGGAATGATTTATATATAATTAAATTATACATAGCACGTTTTTACGAATTGTCATAAAGTATCGATAATTTTATTTATCTCTATACTAATTAAAGGCCATCGGAGTTACTGTACTGGGGTACATGTAGGAGGAGATTTGTTTCATTACATTGCTGAAGGTCCGATCGTAATCTTTTGTCTTAATTTTTTAGGGTCACCGGTACTCGATGGTCTCGTAGACTCATTGCAAAACCTGTTCAAGCCCTTCACAGCAACAAAAGATTCTCAACAGATTGATGTGGAACACGGTAATTTCGTACCAAGGTTTTATTTCATAATTACGTTAGTTTTTCGTAATATAGGGGCAAAAGACAACATACTCAAAAACAACGAAAGGGTTCATTTAGTAATATTGTGTTCGAAAACATTTACTCATTTGGTCATTCATAGACTGGAAGTAACTATACATAGCTTTTTCTGAAGACAAAGCAGTTTTCAAAAAAATTCTCGCCAAACTCGTATATCTCGTTTTACGGTATTCAGAGAAAAGTTTTCCATTTTCGACTGAAAATTCAAGCGTCGACGACTTTTCATAATTCATCCATTGCTTTATTTTTAGACCTTTATGGTGGATTCAACAATGCATTTAACAATATGTTCAATTTTGGCGGGGATCAGAGAGGTTAAATATTTTATATTTTTCATGATTATCATATTTAATCAAATCTGATATAAGATGAAAAATGGAAAGTGGAAAATTCTTCAGTGCTGATTTTTAATTTTTCCTCTGAATGCATTTATTCATATGCTGTCGTTTTGGCTAACAAGCTTTTTTAAAATAGTAATATTTGGCGCTAAGTGCTATTGGCGTTTGCCTAACAAACGCTTTTCCTCTGTCTGTTTGAACAAGTCAGTTTTATTTTTTATTTTATTTTTTGATAATTTGACAAAATTCAAATCGTCACATGATCGATTTATTCGATCAATGTGAGATTCAAAATAGCCAAATAAATATAATTGAAACATTTATAAAGACTCCAATGAAAAAGTGAAAATGACAGCGTTCCAAAAACAACACAATTATGCAATTACATTCAAATTTGTTTGCAATTGCAATAATTGATGCGCAACATGTAAAACGTAAACGCAAATTGCAGTCATTATTGTATCTCACTTATGCTCTCTTTTAAACATACAGATGATTACACGGCATGTTCATATGACTCAAATCATATCAAACCACAAGACAGTGGAAGGACATACGGACATGGGTATAACTACAAAGCGGTTTGCAAACAACACTACGACCGATATTATTATGCAACGTGTAAGAATGGGCAATGGATCTTCGACGAAGGCCCATGCACAAACCAACACTACACCAATAATCTATTCGACAACATATTCACTTTCGACGCTGACTTCAGTGGTGAGCGATTACATGATTACTATTTAGTTATTAGACAGAAAATGGGCATCTAATTGATTTTGTTACTATTGTTTCGATAAAAATGATTTTCTCTTCAAATTTGCAGTCGTCTAATACAAAAGTACATTCTACATTTATTTTTGTATTACATTCCCTCCAGGCTCCCCGGTGCCGTTTAAATTTGAACGAATTGTAAATCTGCGCCTTCGTGTAGCGATTTGCGATTTTGTGTCCATGTCCATGAAGATTGCAATCTTGTTTTCTGAATCGTACACAAGTGCGAGAATTTATTCAACTTTTTTGTACATATAACTATGATATATATATCTTTGTGATAGGATGTATATTTTGTTAATTTTGAAGTACCTCTTTCCAACCAAAATTGCATTTAATTTATATCGAGCGGTGAAATTTCATGATTTAGAAAAATATTCATATCTGGAAAATTATCACTCTTTAAAATATATGCATATATGCTCGCATATATGATCATTTTTGACAGGTTTATTCAGCGGATTTAATGATTTGTTTGGCAACCTATTCAACAGTGGTCCATCTACAGGCGGGGGTAAGTTATGAAGTAAATTTAGTTTTTCTTCATTTTTACAGAATTATAATAGTTTGGTGACAGTTCTTGATTAAATAAGTATAATTTCTTAGTATAACTTCATGGATTTGATCATTTGTTTGGCAACCTATTCAACAGTGGTCCAGCTACAGGCGGGGAAAAGTTATGGAGTAAATTTAGTTTTTCTTCATTTTTACAAATTTATAATAATTTGGCGACAGTCCTGGATTATATAATTATAACTTATAATTTGCAAAAAATACATATTTTCGAGTATTTGTCACACATAACCTGTCCCATTTTTGTTGTCTGGTTCTTCATATTTTAGTATTTGTGTAATCACAGCTCGCCGGTAGATAATTCTAAGGCATACACAGACATATCTGTATACGTGCATTATATTAGTATCCACGCCAATATCAGCTTTGTTACCTATCGATTTTAATCGGTAAGTATGTTGATAGGTATTTGTCTGTCTGTATGTCTGTTTGCCTGTTAGATGCACGCGATATCTCACGAAAGCGAGATTGAATCTGCTCCAGATTTTGCATGTGCATTCATCTTATCTCGGACCAGAAGCCTATTGATTTTGGGCGAATTATGTCGTATAATTAGCGAGTTATTAATTAATTAGTGATGGGACACAAGGTGTCACTATGGGGTAAAGACGCTGTTTTGGGGGATCCCCTAACTTTCGATCTATAAGTCTTCGGTCTCTGACCGATATTCTCGTACCTATACTTTGCAGATTACAATAAGTGCGCCTACGACCCAAGGCACATGAAGGGCGATTACAGTAGTGGAACTTACAACCATGGCTACCAGTACAGAGCAGTCTGTGAGGGGTACACCGATAGATACTTTTACATCATGTGCAATGATGGACAATGGGTGTATGAAGAAACGACTTGCTCATCGCCTGGACCGCATGGTACTATTTACTATTTAAATACAAATACCTTCTTAAAGTAACTGAGTTCATTTTGAAACGTGGGATTCGATTTTTCTTATTTAGACAAAATGCAATGTTTGAATAACAAATTTCTGTTTTTAATTGTTTTCAGGTTCATCGTTTTTCGACAACATGTCTTCTGCCTTGAGAGATCTTTTTGGACCTTTCCTTGGTACAGGAGAGCATCATGGTAACTTTTCAATTCACAATTGTTTAATGAAAATGTATGACTCATGTCTGAGGAACAAATAATCATACTTTCAGTTCGGCATTTGGTGTCTAATCTCAGAAATTCTTTATAATATCTAGAGCAAATAAAATGACATTCGCTTAATTGTCAAAATTGCACAAGTTTTATTTTTATTTTTTACAAAATATACGATTTAGTTCCCAATTTAACACATTGTTTTCCCTGCTTAGGAGACTACAGTAGCTGTACTTATAACCCTGTTCATATCAGGCCTGACGACGGTGGGAAAACGTTTCGTCACGGACATCAATACACCTCTACTTGCGAACAATATCCAGGACGACATTACCATGGCATCTGTAATGATGGTCGATGGGTCTTCGATGATACGCATTGCTCAGAAGATAAATCTTATAGCGAGGGTTGGAGAATTGAATATCTTAAAATTAAATGTTACATAAACACAATAGGGTTTATAAACACACACTTGTTTAACTATATCTATACGCATGAACGACTATTTTTAATGTATTGTTATATATTAGAAGGAATTTATTCATTTTATTCACTTTATATTTATAGAGGACGCACTTTTAATATATGTGCACAGACGCATACATGTTCATAAGCTAGCTAGATTTATTCATATTCAATATACAGGTGAGTTATCGCATATGTGTGATCAAAGTATAAATAAAGAATGTGTAAAATACTTTATAATATTTTTTTTGATATCATGTATATGATGTATTGCATTCACACAGGTGGGTCGTTTATGGAAGACTTTGCATCAAGTTTGAATAATATATTCAAGCCATTAACAGGAGGTTATCATAATACACAACGAGGTGAGAATGTTGATTGATAATTCGAAATGTAAGATTGAATACTTTTTCGGTTTTCGACGATCGAGCAAAAGGCGAGCAAAATTGAAATAGGTCTATATGAACTTCTATAATGTATTCTCTTAAGAACTAGTATTGTTGTTGTTGTTTTTTTGCAAATATTAGCAAGACAAATAGAAGGTCCCGAGAATACACTCAAAATTGAAATCCAGTAACTACTGCAGTGCCACAACTTATGATATTAGAAAATCAACAAATATCGATTCCAGCGACTCGTGCTCAATACTATATGTATTCTAAGTGCTCAAACTTTACCATCTCATATAAAAAAAAATCTTTATTATCATGCAGGTAGCTACTCAAATTGCCAATACAATCCTACTCATTTTGCACCCGAGGATCACGTGAAAACATTTTATCACGGATTCAGCTACCGAGCAGTATGCAAGGGATACACTGACCGATATTACTATGGAAAATGTGAAAGTGGTCAATGGACTTTCGATGAAGCAGCATGCTCATCCCCACAGCCACAAACAGGGAACGGTAAGCGCAAGTTTTATGCAAAGAATGAGAACTACTAATTCGGTATGAAAAGCAATACACTTTAGTCGAATGAATATTTGTAGAAGGCGTTGCACGGGCGCTATAACTGGGTCGTGACCCAGGCTACAACTATTAGGCTACAAAAATTGACAATACAGTATTGTAAAAAAATCTGTCTTATAGATATATATATATATATATTTATGATAAAATGAAAATGGTAACTAATAACATCTTGACCGTTATTGCTTACTTTAAAACAACCAATTCCTCAAAACCCCAATGACAAGTTCGCATTCTAATGTGTACTCGTTTTTTAAACCAACACTCAATCAAAAAATGATATTTTCATCAATTATTCTAACTTTATTTTCAGGTCTGTCAGGTTTATTTGACAATTTTGCTTCAACCTTTGATAACTTGTTCAGCCCCCTCACTGGCTCACAAGGTAAATATTATATATCATGTTTTATTACTTTTTGAAACTACTGTGTTTGTTAGCAAGTGATTGTAACGAAGACGAATATCTTTATGTTGAATGTTAGACTTTAAATTTATTGAATTGCGAGTTTAGTTGGTATATAGGCCTACACTTGGTTGCAATATGATGTTCACCAAATAAACATCTAGAGACCACACAATTTAAAAAGCCATTTCCAAACTGTCTCGTCGTGTTCATACGCATATAATTGATATCTTAGCCAAAAAGGCCACATAAGCGTATAAGAAAACTGCTTATGTCGTAAAAATTACTGGTATTTTACTACTCAGGAACTCTCAGTAAACACCTATTACCCACTCTAAGAAAGCATTTTCAATGTGTTGAAATTGATAGTTTGTAAATAACTTGTAAACAATATGCTCAAGTTACAAATTTTCATAATATCTGCGTACTAGCCCAAAGCAAATTCATTTTTCTACGCACTGACTGTATTTTGTTTGGATATACATTACAACTGACGAAAAGATGTTCCCCAATTTGTTACGTCACAATGACTATTCCCAATGATTCGGCCGACAGCTTACGTTTCCATATATTCAACAGTCTTTAATGTATCATTTCGGTAGTTTTTGCAAGTTTGGTATTCTGCCTGAATTTTGAAAAAAAGCGAATGCAATAGTTATATTGTAGCGAATGTGCATTGTGTAACTATGGATTATAACGTATTTAACCCTTTCATATTAATAGCATGTAATATTTCACAATATAGGCCGCATTATGTTTCGCAACAGCGATAATGCATTCGCTCCATGTATTGCCTTTCTCGTTTCGACCAATTTGATGACGTTTCGTTTCCGGTTTGCCGAGATCGCTCTATAATATTGTGCTTTTTGTTTCACTTGTGATCTGACCGTAATCTTACTGCATTAAGAATTAAGTGTGTACAATTTTATCTGTATTTGGAATTTGGAGATTGGAGTCACATTCCATAACACGTCCAAAAATATAGGGATAGGGATAGAGACTTAGGGATAAAGACTGTTCACCCTAATATTCAAAGTTCGATTCCCACGTTATTAATTTCACGTGTTATGGAATGTGACTCCAATCTGGATTCCCTCAGACGATAATAAGCACACGATGTTGATTGTCGAATTGTTGTATATTATTGAAAAGATGCATGATTTAAATTCCAAATACAGATAAAATTGTACACACTTAATTCTTAATGCAGTAAGATTACGGTCAGATCACAAGTGAAACAAAAAGCACAATATTATAGAGCGATCTCGGCAAACCGGAAACGATACGTCATCAAATTGGTCGAAACGAGAAAGGCAATACATGGAGCGAATGCATTATCGCTGTTGCGAAACATAATGCGGCCTATATTGTGAAATATTACATGCTATTAATATGAAAGGGTTAAATACATTATAATCCATAGTTACACAATGCACATTCGCCACAACATACGTCAATGCTTGTACCTTTTTGTATCCAGGTAATAGATGTGCTTACAGTCCTATGCACCACGGATCTGGAGATAGCGGAAAAACATTTTCTCATGGATATAGTTTCAATGCGATGTGCAAAGGATATACAAACCGATATTACAATGTACGATGTAACGACGGGCAATGGATGTATGATGAAAGGCACTGTTCAACATCAGTTGTCCATCCTCTGTAAAATGTGCTCAGAAATCACTCAAAACAGCAGCATGACAACAGCATTACATTTTTGTTGAAATGTTGTAGACAGTACTTTGTATATGTATGATGGCCATGGGTAAACTTTATGTACATTTACCAATGTCATCTTTTATTCTTCGATAAATAAGATGCCTCAGCATTTCATAAGGGTTTTATTGTACTAATAATATCGTTGTCATTTATCATTTTATGCTTGTTACTGGCTATTATTAAATTCAAATATAAGTTAAATAATGAACCACAAAACTTATGTGTACGTATTTTTACAATTGCTGCAAGACAGGGGCGTGGTTTTACAGCTTCTAATTTTATACTTTCATATTATGGTAGTAATTTCATGTTCTGTACCAGGTTGCACGTCATTTTTACATCAAATCAGCCCTCAATTTGCCTCTGATCTTATGAAAATTGCTTAATTGTAGAATTCTCCTTGTTTATGAAATTTAAATGTCGTGTTATCTACGTACAACCAATTTTTATTACTTTGGTAAAAGTGGAGAGATCGCTTCCTTATACTGGTAACAGTCGGTGGTTGACTTTTAGATTATCTTGATTTGCCGACGTTTCAAATCCTGTTAACATATACACAACATATCTGATCGAAAGCGATAATGATTTACGCAGAGTAATAATAAAGACAATCTATTTATACGCCCTGTAACAGTTCTGGAACAGATTCTAAAAATTACGCAAACTTCCATGACTTTTCAAGATTAATGATTACCAAGTAGATTAGCTTTGGAAACAATAGCTGGCTGGGAAATTATAACTGTTATATTGTTGGGCTTTCAAGCCTGACATAAGAAAGGATCGATGGTTCAGGACGATCTCTATGTTTGATCGTAATTCACCAGTAATTCTTTGACCAGACAACTTAACTGAATATGCAGCCAGGCCAAGCGAATACGCGAATCGGTCATGTTCATCTTAATTTATATTCTATTCACCGGAAGCATAAATAAGTGTAGGTGCTGAAATGGTGTAACTAATTAATGTGTAACTTTTACGTAGTGTAAAATAAGTGTCCATCTCATAATGATACGATTGTACAATAAGTTAACGATTTTTAATAATGTTATTGAATCATCCAAAATTAAATTTATATTCATTAGACCAAAATACAAATAGGCTTTTGATTATCTTAGATTGGATAGTTGAATAGCAGTATAACGTACTGTAAAGCACATCTAAACCTAGCGCTGTAAGAGCAAAACAACATGAACAAATTGGTGTTTGTTAGGCAGTTTGCGATCACGTATCAGTACGATAAAGAAGATAAATATATAAAAACAAGCGCGAATAACACGTCACAGGTGATATTGAATTATATGCAATTTACGTATTATTGTACTTATTGTTACACACCCAGAGGGTCATGACGATAGCAAAGTCGTTATTTGATATTTTCGCTTTCAGTAATCCATTATTATGTTCGTAAATTTTGGCGAGGTAATAATTGTGAAGATATTAAACTTTTCGTAAGTGCGCCCACAATTTAAAATTATTTCAACCGAAGCAGCATACGAATCGAGCAGCTCCAACAACTTAATAAATAGCAAGGAGAGGGAACAATGCCCAAAGGCAGTACCAAAGTTACAGTACAATACGTAAACATGAAAAAATTATCTATATTGTATTAGTATAAAAGAAAAATTCCACCAATTGAACAGTCATATCACACTGAGTAATCGTGTTCTATAATTTCACACACATAGTAGAAATAAAAGAAGAAAATTGAAAATAAAAATTATTAATATGTACAAAATTAGAACAATAAAAAGAATTTCATACTTCAATGGATAGATAAAAACCAAGAGTATTGCCTATGCATTACTTTTAATTTGTGGAAGATGGCGGCTAATCAGCACCAAAGTTGAAGATTTATGTCCTGTTTTATAGAATCTTCATTTAAAATCGTGGTTATGCGAAGCGTCCAAAAAGAAAAGACCATTTAAAAGGCAATATATATACAAAATTTAACTATTCTATTTCCTCTTTTTCTCTGGTATTGCAATACAAGTATGAAAATACCGTCTAACAATGTATAATTGTCTTTGTCAAGCAGAAAAAATAGTTAGAACTTTTGATTATCATTGAAGTTCGATTCGAGTTTTTTGGCAATTTTCAACCTACTACATATTCGATTCGTTTGTAGAGTTACTTCCTCCCTTTGAGTTTCTGTTTACGGCACCATAAACATCAGCTGGTTCGTGGGATCCATTCAAATTACCGTTTGTACTGCAATAATCAGAAAGTTTTTACTCTAGTTTAATTAGATTAGCAAAATGTAGTCTATGTAACTTCAAATTCTACAATTGAAAATTCTATGTTTTTTTGAATTAAGCTAGTTTTTAAACATATTTTTCTTTGTAGCAGTGCGTAGTTGTAAAACTTGTTTACATTTTAATTGGAACTACCGAAGGCCACCACCCGACTTAACACGTTAGAATTGTTCCTTTACCGCCACCTACTGTGAGTTAACTTACCTATGATGCCCATTTTGATAAACGTTATCATTGGTTGTACTTGAATTAATAAGAACTGGAGTTTCCAATCTTTCTCTTCTCTGAAAATAAGTGAACCAACTATCACACTGCTGAAGCTTTTTGACAGATAGAATTCAATAATTTATCGTCATATTTAAAGCATATTTAAGAACAAGAGATCTATGCTCAAATATATGGACACGTGGCGCCACATAGTGGCAACTTTTGATGACGTCTAGCACAAAAAAAACGAATGCCATGCAGCTCACCGGAATATTTGAAATAAAAAAAAACAATAGCCTTCTAGCGAAAAACCTAATCTTCAAGCGAAAAGCATTTTTTTTCATAACGATACCAAGAAGAATACAAATAAAAACAACAAGAAGAAGAGTTCCAGCATAATATGCAAAAAGATCGTTATGTCCATTAACGTGTCCAATAATTTAACTTACCCTGCGTCTTCGTCGATGATGCAGACTACAAATCAATATGATCAGCAGAACCAAGAATATCAGGAAAAATGATGCAGCAACCACAATAAGCACAATGACGAGGTCAACTATAAAAAATGAAATTTGTTATTTTGTGAAGCTCCGTAGATTGAAGACACTTATTGTAATAGAACTGGTGTTTTGTCGGTGAAAATAAACACAAATGCAACAGACACAGACACACGAACGTTTGGTTGACTTTACTAAAATTAAGTGTTTAGTATTCACAAGACTTCTAGTTACTGACTTTTCATTTCAAAATAGCGATTGATTCATATATATATATATATTTAATTGGACCTTTATTCTGGGTGAAGGGAAGTTTTTATTGATAATATTAACTCCATGGCGCCATAAAACAATCTAATTTTGTATCTCCAACTCTTAGGAGGCTGTCGATGTCGTCAGACTTTAAAAACGAGAGAGCTAAGCTCAAATATATGGACACGTCACAAGGTGTCGCTATTTTTTATTCTGACACATAAAAAACGAATCTCTTGAAGTCCACAGAAATTTTTGAAATAAGTAAAAGTGATAGCCTTCTGGCGATAAAATTAATCTTTAACCACTGAAAATTTCAAAGCAATCAGTCAAGTATTCGAAGAGAAAGGCGATTTTATCATGACCAAGGAAAAGAATAATAACAATAACAAGAGAACTATGCTCAAATATATGGACACGTAGCGCCACCTAATAGCAGTAATTTTGATGACGTCATGGCAAAAAAAAAATAGCCTTCTGAAGAAATTTTTTATCTTTAACCACTGAAAATTCAAAGCAATTGGTCCAGTAATCAAAGAGTAAAGCGACTTTTTAAAAACGTGTCAAAGAACAAGAACAACAACATAATATTGAAACGATCGCTATGTCCACTACGTGTCCAATAATAATTAGCAGGTAGTAAAATAAACAGATTATTTAGGAATACAACGTAAGCCCCGGTAAAAGTACAAATATGTTACCTCTAGTTTCCGTCGTTCCTTGTGCTGTTGTGTTAGTAACACTAGCTGAATCTAATATCTTCGCCGAAGTTACAATATACTGATCCCGGGGCTGATTGCAAATCTACGAAAAAGTTGCTTTTTGTAATTACCATCAATCACATAAGCTACCTGAGGTGCTACATTCTTTTTATGTACGAATAACGAGGTAATTTTAAATGAGAGCTTTGAGTCGAAACAATTTATACGATAACATTTTATTTGTTCTGTGTTATCAAACCGACTTGTGTTTTCAAAAAAAATAGTTGCCACAGTTGAGAGCCAATTTTATTGAGTCTTAGAGCAACGTATGAATTTTGAAAATCTATTTTTAATTTCTTTTTCTTTTTCACTATAACTAAAAACCATTAAATATATAAATCTTACCAAAAGACATCCAATTATTCCAGGACATTTTGTTGAGATATCACATTGCAGATAGAAACTATCCACACTTTCTGGGGGCGGAAGGAGAAATTTTCCGTATAATTTGTGAACTCCTCGTGCGTAGTCAAATTCGGTGTAGTAAGCAATTTCTTGAGGGCATCTGTTCAACATATTTGATAATGTGAATTAGTTAAATTCTAATTCGACATTAATATATTGCTCAAAAAGGTGTTTATTTTGTATAGTCGTCTCTAGCCAAATTCCACCACTGGGGATTCGATATTGAAGCGATCGGGGGAATAATTTTCAAAACAAAATTCTGAAGTATTTTTGCAACACTTGAGGGACGATTTATTGTTTGAAAATTTTATAATTTAAAATTTAAGCTTTCCAAGTTTTGGTGCAGTTCCAGTCAAATTTCATTTCCAATGACGGAATCGAGAGCAAAATATAGATTTATTTGCATCAAATCTAACAATAATGTTGCCTTTACGTGGTTGAACACCCTGTAAAATTAACTGATATATATTCGGCGACAAGTATCAATATTTCATTCTGAACACCTTCTTAGTTTTGAGTGTTTTTTTTAAATAATTTTCAAAAAATATTATGTTTATAGCCAAACCTACCCTTTCTTGAGTATGTGATATTTTTCACCGCTGCTAGGGTCTGTAGTTAACCAACAATCATACATTGCCAAAGATACACCTTGATTTGTTACAATGGCAGCAAACACCCATGAATCGCGATTTAATTCGGGATTGAGCAGTCGTTGTGAATATGTTTGGTCCTAAATGTAATTAGTTATAATGCACGTGATATCAGTGAGGTATCATTAAATTATGAAATATTGTAGTAAACATTTTTTAGTGTTAATAAGTAATTAAAAATCATTTCAATCGTTGTCTTTCTAAAATATATATTCAATCCGGGAAATACAAGCATTCAATAAAATTTTCAAGTGAAATTAAGTCATGGACAAGAAGATAGATTGAATAATCTTTGTTTTGACTGCTAGACAACCAAATTATATGACAAGAATATTTTACAAGAAGTCCTAACATCCAGTTATACCCTGTATATATGAAGTGAAGCACAAATACTGGTTAACGGACTCGTTGTTGAATTTACGATTGAGCACTGAGCATTGGCGAAGTTGAGGTAGGTCATGAAAATGAATCCTGCTAAAGAAACATTTATATGAATTAGCAATAGGTGAAAACACACTAATTTATCTACATGCATAAGAGATATAATTGAGATATATGGAGTGGCAGAAGCGATGATACATTGAAAAACAAAAGCACACCATCAGTGCCGATACGCATTAGTGCCAAAAATGATGGACCTCACACAAAGAATAAAGAGCACATAATGTTATCCTTTGAGGGCTTAACCATAATGCTAGGGCAAAGATAATTCCATTATTACTTATATCTAGCTATATATTATATATTAGTTAATATTATCACTACTGAAATTACAAAGAAAATTACCTATTGAAAGATGCTGTAGTTGTTGACTCATACTGCTATATTCAGTACTCCGCTGTTTCAATATTATTTACAAAAAATCTGCAGTATATATATCTTGGGCAAAGAACGTTAAACAAACATTTACCGATTCTTACAGCATAAAATATGATAAAACTGAAAATATATCCATAGTTTTAGTTGGAAAACAAAAATAGAGGGAGGGATCTCGTACTTCGTACTAAAAATCAATTGATGAATCATTTCACTAAACTTGGATAGTTCGTATTCTTTGTTCTCGTCTAAGCATAAGCTTTTATCATAACAAGAGTCTATATCTTTATTGCTCGATTTGCCCTTATCAATTTGACTTTCCTATGAAATATGCTATAGATATTATACGACAAACAGTCTAACCGATATTTTCATTTTTCTCGTAATAAAGCTTCTTTTTAAAATGTGTAACGTTCATACCGCGAATCTTGAATAAGGGTTGGGTAAGGAAATTGAGCGTTACATTATTAAATGGGAGAAGTACTCATGTTGGGGTTGGGTCGCTGACGTCACTGAAATGACTGGTCGCTTGTAAACCCCATCGCTCATAAACCTTATCGAGAGAAATGATTCGTTTCAGATGAATAACTGTCGATAATAAACCGCATTTGTCAAATGAATATTTGGTTAAGCCTATATTAATATACCATAAATGACCTTAGTAAACTTTACTATTGAATGCTTAATTTAGAACAATTCTGCTTTAAGTTGAATAAAATCTGAATGGATTTCAAGAGCAAGACACATATAATTAAAAATAAAACTAGGAGAAACTTTGTATATGAGCTTCAATATTTTTCTTCGTGTTTTGACTTTTTTCAGGGGCCGAATTACCGCCAAACTTCCTGTAAGGGCCTCTCAATATGTAATATCGAGTGTATAAAGAAATATATTTGGTAAAATGTTTTCGAGTTCTTACTCTTGTCAGGTGTACAAGTGTAGGTGAAATTTAAACATAAAGGATCGTTTATTAAAAATAAAAATAGATCGGCTCGGTTTTAGAAAATATACTAAACGTCCACAAAGGTTCAAACTGAAAAATTATGATACCAGCCAAACAACCAAATTTCTCATTTTTTAATATTATGATGAAAGTAACGTCGCATCGCTCCCCCTTATTCCCTTGATTGTGTCATCACACCTAACCCGAAACTACCTAAGTTATCAGAAGGCGTGTCGTGTAAATTTAGTAACCACGTCTTTTTTAAATTGGGAATGTCGAGTTAAAGTAAAAAAAAAACTAAAGAAATTTTTTTGTTCATGATAATATAAGCCAGGCTACGCCGGGTCGTATCTTCAACGTCTACGCCAACAACATATAGCGCATATATGATGGGATTCACAATTTTAAGAAGGGTTATCTTTTGTATCAAAATCACAACAACAGGTTCCCTAATTTCAGAAATCATGCTGAACCTATATCTTCAAAACTGTACTTTATATTTACTAATGTATGTGACTACGTAAGCTACAATAGGACGAGACGCTATACATAAATCTGATACATAACTCACGAAACGCCTAATATAACATCAGTCGGTCAGCTCAAAATCGGGTTCGCTGCCCATCACGACATTCCAATAACGGGTTCGCTTGAATTCATGTTAACCCTCCCAATTCCACCTCTGCGCGTAAGTATTATTGCACGTAGCTGCACAAAAGAAATCTTTCTTTTCTGCCCATATATATGTCATACCTCAAGTTTACAAATTTCTTTTCGTGTAACGTAGTTGCTAAAATATCAACATTTTCTAAATTACCATAGTCGAAGACAACTTTCACTGTCCATCCGCTCACTGATCTTAGTTGAGTACGGATAATGCTGTCAGTCCCTTTCTTTTAAAAATTATCCTATTACAACACAAAACGATCATTAATTTATAGTAAAAGAACCGTAGCGCCCATGTGACATTACATGAAATAATTCTCCACATTCACTGACCAATTTAAGTTTTATATGGAAAGGAATTACTGGTTGCCACACCTTTATGTTACGCTTTCTTACTCTCAATTAGCCGACACGACAAGGTAAAGATTTTACCATATGCCACGATGTGTTTACCAGCCTGCATCTTTACAAGATTGCGTGTTTAGCAAAATCTTAACGCTCAATAATGATAAGAAATACGATTGAGAATAAAATAGACAATAAAATTATTGCTGAAACAAAATATACATCAAGTTCCTTTACGGTCGAGTACAAGTTGGATCTTTTCTCGTCAAATTTTCTTTAAAATGGTAGATAGATTACCTTGTAACTATCATAACATTTTCTGATATTTTTTAGAGTACTTATTAGCTCTTTGAAGTGAAGTTTAAAAACATGGAGTTGACTTTGTTGTTTGCAATTAGGTGTGAATGAGCGGTTATGACTTGTTTAAAATCATAAACATCCAATGAGTTTATTAAAAAAATGACTTATGGCGCGAAAATTTTTGTCCGAGATATCTAAATAAAAAGTCAAAGATGAAAGAAAAATGAAACGAAATATTTATTGTTATCGATGAGCAACAAACAAAATTGATAACCATTGTTAACGGCAGAAACTGGATGACGATCAAAAAATTTACCCTGTGGTTAATGTTGAATCATGTCAAATAATTAAATACGCAATATTTTTTGTTTAATGTTTTTATCGTTCCTTGTTCACCGTTACATTGTTTGTGTGGTTATTTCAAAATTCTCCAAAATCCAAGACAAACAAAAAAACAATACAACACTTTGAGAGTATTTTAGGACGAACATTGTTTGAACATATAGTCCATTTTCTCAGGGTCGTTAAAATATATCATACAGTATAGTTATTTAATTATGGATAGGATAGTTTAAGCGCACTGGATAATCAACTCGATATAAAATAAATTCATAATGTGTATTGAACTCTATCTTTTTGTGACAGTCTGTAAAGAACTCCACTATCCATGACCACATTTGAAAAGTTTGCTTCAAAACCGTGATTCCGGTGCGCTAAACTGTATTCACTAAACGTGCCAAACAAGGTTTATTGGTGTATTATCTTCCCATTAGAACTAATAGCATATTAATATCACAATTATGTAATGCATGTATATGATACACGATTCACAAGATGGACAAATCAATACACAAAGCAGAAAATTGATAATATAGCATCTGAGTGTTATTTTACAATCCGTATTCATTTGCCATGAGACGACAGGAAATCCGTTACCCATAAATTGTTGGATTCAAGATTTCAAAAGTCATTAGATCACATTTATATCAAAATGTAACTTAACTATGATTACTGAAATTCTGATACCGCCCGATACGATATCTTGCAAATGAATAAATTTTATATTTTTCCGAAGACACTCGCGCGCAATGACTTCAATGGGTAGATGTATGTTCACTGTTAGTCATTTGATATAATGAATGCCAGCTGTTATGATATGAGGCAAATCACCCAGCAACTTGCGCGCAATCACCCGAAACAGTTTTTCTAAGAATACAACCATTTTCTATAACGGGTTCATGCGCACTGTAGAAAAATATATAAAGCCTAGTGATAATACCACATTTTTGAATATATTTTCCAGAATTACAACATTTGACGAAGCGGCCACTTACAAATTACTGCATTGTATTGGTGCACATATATGGCTTACGGATTACGACCTACCATCGCGAAGTATAAAGCCAACACTTTACAGTATCACGGAAATTCAAGTCAATAAATTCAAAATGTTGATAGTATATATATTTCCATCGCAATCAATTGAATGAGAGATTCAATTATTATGGTTTATTGTAAAACAATAAGACGACATTTTAAATAGGCGGTTCGGTTTGTTTGTACATTCGTTTCATGTTTCTTCCTTCTATTGTTACTGCCTTTTAAATTCACAGTCTTTTTGTTAGATATGCTGGATCAACTGAGCCTGTATAGAGATATTATAGGAGACTAGATGTTGTTAGTACCAACAGGATTATTGTGGACTTGAAATAAATTAGTAATGAACTAACTTGTGTAATCATATGATCTAAAATTATTCAAATTGGGCAAAATAAGATAAAGAAATTTTATGTCGAATCCTATACCTTGAGGGTTTGGCTTTTGAATTTAATTTCGAAATATGCGGTTTTTTAATATCAACTATAAATAATATGTTTAGTCACAAAATGTAAGTTTATAACGACAAATAGGCAATCGTTTCACTCGGTTTCCTGTAAATTCTATGCTACGTGACATGATTGTACTCACAAATGGAATTTGCGGATAAAATTTATTTATGTAACAAAGTATAATTAAATGTTCTGTAGAATACTGTAGCGATGATGTCATATGATTATTTTCAGAAATATGTGGTGTTTGAGTAATTCAAGTAGTAAGTTATATATTGTAGCCTCAGTTTTAGAGAAAAGCTCGCGATTGATCTCAATAATTGCAAGGGTTAAAATAACAAACTAATGATCATGGAACCTTCAAAATATATATCATTTTAAGAAACGACGTTTGAATTTGGAGAAGAGATCACCATCGACAAGTCCCAATACCAAAATATAATGGACACCAGACAGTTTTTTTATTATTTTACAGATCAACGCCGAAATGTAATACTGCCATAGATTTACGTTTGCAATTTTGATTCAGTTCAAAACCTAAACAAGATGTTGCCTCTCATAGCAGCAAACGATAATTGGAACGTACGACGTCAGGTGAGTTTGACATGAGTTGCGCGAGAGCAGTTGATTTAAAGCCGAGGTTGAAGTTAACAAATAGTATTGCCCCGAACCTGACTCAAACTAAGAAACGTCCAACTTCAAGCCTGCATTTGCTCAATCCATAACCCGAACAATTATATCAAACCGGACAGGGACGGAACTCTGATTTGTTGACTCATAATTTATACAAAAAGCCGTGAATGGCTCAAAGCATGTACAGGGCAGTTGTTGTTAACGTCCAAACGAACGCCCTGCTATTGCACGATTTTTGTCATTCATACTTGGTTAAGTTACTTGATTTGTTATATTAGTCATATAATATTTTTGCATCATGTGATGTTTTTGCATTGTATTCCCGTTTCGCCAGTAGGTTTTACTGCCTATAAAACTATGCTTTCAGCAATCAAGATCCCAAGCTCTATCTGGATTGCCAGC